AAAAAACAAACAAACAAAAAAAACCACAAGAGTTTATAACTTTGGATTTTGGCTTGCTGTGTCAAGACCAAATTCTCCTAGAACACCATAGGTGGCTAGACACAAACCCTTAAAACAAGTAAATTCTGTTTCTCTCATACACAACAGTTTAGTTCTTTGAAAGCAAATATTAATTTAATCAGGTGTAAACAGTTTAATGTAAAATAATAGCCTCAACTGCAAGGATGAAACTCTCAACCTTCCCACTTCTAGGCAAAGTACCCTAACACTGCAAGATACCCTCATAGGAACCTGCGTACTCTTCTTCTCTCTTCCTCTCCCTGCTCCTTTCCTTCCGTCCCCTCTTCCTTTCTCCATCCTTCTCACCCAAAGGATCTCCAACCTTTGATGGTCAGTGACAGTCCTACACCAAAGGGATGGAGAATTAGTCTAAATCCTACAGTCTGGTGACCAAGACACTCTCCTTTTAATGAGAAGTTAAATCCATCCCATTTCCTTAGCATATACAAAGCTATTACATAAAAGGCAGACTCACGTGCAGTACTGTCTCTGCTCCAGAGGACAACAGACCTGCATCCTCCATAAAAACCTGGTTCACTGTATACACCGGGTGAAAACTGAGTCATTTTGGAGCTTCAGCAGATGAAGCTTACGCTAACGGAAGGATTAAGCTGATCAGGTCAGGTGCAAAAGGGACTCAAGATTTGTACAGAGAAACTCCCCCCTCCTACAGGGTTTCAAACTCAGGTAAGTATATAATAAGCTGAGTTACCAGGAGTGCTGAGAAAAACTAAGTGGGGATTTCAGGTTGTCCTTTAGCCTCCGGCGCTATTAGGCCTGGCCTGAGGCTATGCACTATTTCAGTATTACTTCATGGGCTTCACCAGCACATAAAAGTAAGCCATGGTTAAACTACCTGGTAAGGCACATGTAAACTAAATCAACCTATGTCCCACATGCCCTGTCACACCGCAGGCCCTAAGGACATCAGTGCCACTCACGTGGTCAAGAGTCAGCAGCATGCGTTTGCTGTGACACGTTGTGGGAAAGAGGCTCATGGCCTGGAGTCAAGCAGGCATCATCAACTCCGTGCCCTGATGCTCAGACTGCAGATAAAGCAGGTACTTCGATTTGTGTCATTTGAGCTCCCTTCCGCTGTGCTCACAGGCTTGCTGAAAACTCACGTCTACATATGGGCTTCGGTCCAAACAGTTTGGACAAGTGCCTGTGCTTAAAATACAATTTAGATGTAGCTATACTGACCATCTGTCATAAGTTAATCTCACCCCCGAGGAATTACATTTAATTTGCTCTGGAATTACATAGTACCTTGCTCTCCAAAATGCTGTCTACTGTTCTATCTGTTCATAGTAAATAAAACAAATTTGGTAAAGCATTCTATGAAAGTTGGTGGTTCAACATCACCACACAAACCAAACTGTGACCATTCTATGAATATTTGGCATTAATCCCAAAATACAGATTAATAACAGAGAGTCACAACATATTTAAGATTGAATTTACCTTTTTGTAAAATGGCTGGTCTCCAATTGCCCTTGTTTTCAGAAATTCTTCACTGTTAAACACTCTGTGTTCATAATTTAGATGGTCCTTTACTTCCCTGGACACAAAAATAAATAAATAGATAAATGTGCTTGGAGATTTGTAAGCAAGTTGTAATTTTGCAGTGGCAGCAGCCCATTGGTACTACTAGAAATACAGTGCAGCGTCAGAAGGCAAAATAGAAATATGCTGCAGTATCAGAAGGTAAACTCAGTTTTAATGAACAAGTGTGAGTTACAGAACCTTAGAAAAAGAATGCAAACTCTTATAAGTAGTAAGACAGGCTACCTGCTGCCACTGCCATTTGAAATCACCAAATTCACTTATCTGCTGGATCAATTTTAGTAAACCATGGAGGAGAATCTGCATATTTAAGTGATGACTTAGGTTCCAATCCTGGAATTACATTTACATACACAGTTCCTGAATCACATACAACCCATCTGGAGCACTAAAAAGACAAGTGTATCTATCTGCATTGGGAATTTGAAAGATGTGATCTGACCTCACACTGCCCCATTACACTGCGTCTGTAACATGCACAGGAAATATTATAGATTACATAATTTTTTTGCTGGACTCTCAAACTCTGCTCATAAAGCCACCAATAACTGGCAATTGCATTAAACTAAAGAAGCAGAACTACTGAAATAAAAGAGAAAGTGAAGATAAAGAACCGATGCATATTATAGTATATGCACAGTCACAGCAGAGGCCCTATACTATCCCTGGAAAACCAGACGTCAGTAGTAACTCCTGTGCCTTAAAGGTGAGACAGAAAAAGTTGTTTCAGGAGCAGAAAGTGGGAGTTCTTCAGAAAAGAGCTGCTCTCTGAACTGAAGTCTGTGAGTAAGAAATGATAAGTTACTTAAGCTAGATATGTGCAAACAGCTAAAGTAAGGGCTCTTATTTTTACATCTTATTTCAATTACTCATGCTGGGTATTGAGAATAAGAAATTCCCAGGAAAATACATGAATGAAGAAAATAAGTTCGTGAGCTAAAATTTGAATGTAAGCACAAAAGGGGACTCTCGTACCCATATGGAGAACTCTCAGGTCTATACACTGCTTGCCTTTCATAGATCAGTGACACAAGCCCATTAACAGTTTTTCAAGCCATACGGGTTCAGAAAAAAGACAGTTAGTAAAAGTACAGAGTCCTATATAATTCTACATAATTTAGCATTGTTTGCTTTAAACACGGAACCTCAACACACACAAAAAAACTACAGTGCTTCACTGAAGACAGTAACAACTGGCAGAACAACTGCATCAAAAATTTACTTTCCTTCACTCCTGGACGCTGGTAGATATAGCATTAGAAGACAGAAGAAACAAGGCTGAAAGAGAGAACAAATAAAGAAAGTTTGAAGGAAAGGAGAAAGAAAACAAGAGAAGAATCAACCCCTTTGCAAAACATATTATCTCTTACGAGAGCAAAGCATCCGTTCATTTTTTGTAGCCAAGCATTTAACACATTAAAGAGTTCAAGCTGTTAACAGCAAAATGCATTACTCCTCATCTTTATCTGGAAACATACTGTTGCCAAACACTGAAATCCACCAAATCCCACAGTTCTAGCACATCAGGTTGTAAATGTATTTCAGTTTCCATATCCAGCTAGCCGTAAATTCTGTTCTATCCTCCACATCCAGCAGCTATTGTTCTCCTGGAGGGCCCAGCCACTTGTGTGAACACTCCCTAAGCTGATCCAACAAAAGCTACAAGGTTAACAGAGACCTGGTATTGGGATTATATAAATTAACCCAGCACCTTCTGCCTGAAAACGTTAGGGAGCATTCATATGAGCAATTTGGTAGCTGATCCAAAGGGGAGCACCATCTCCAGCAAGAGGCAGCAAGAAATAGCTGGGGATGGTTATCTGCACACCTTTTTGCAGACCCCTGTCCATACAATCTGATTCTTTAGAAATCCCAGGTGGACAGTTTCATTTTCATGGCTCAGTATGTTAGTATCTATGTAAAAAGAAATGAAGCATATGCAAACCAGCTATCCATTTTCTGCACTTTTTTGGATTAATCACCTACCACACTTCCATTCTCTCCTCAAATACAAGCAAATAATAGCAGGATTTACAACCAGTACTCAGACTGATAAGATAAAGTAACTGTGGGTACCAACACATTGCGTTAGGTTAAGAACAGGGAAAATTAGCATAGCTGGACCTCTTTCTAGAGAAAAAAAAAAAAAGCCAAACCTACTCCACATCATTGTTAAAACGTCAGTCCCAACCACATCCAATAACCAGCATTTCTTGTGCCCATACCGTGTCCCTGAGCTTAAGTAGCTCCTCTCCCTCCTTCATTCTGATGTGGTTGCACTCTCCAGATATCTCATCCATTCTCAGCATTTGTTCAGTTAGCTAAAACACACCCAGGTGTTCTGAACTCCCAATCCTGCTTTCAGCAATTCTACCATGTCTCAGTTTGAATTAATTTCCTCTAACAAGAGTGACTGAGACTGTGTACAGTTACAAACTGATATCCCTACTGGGTCTTAAGCTTTTCCTAATCATGAAATATGAGGACTGCACTTCTCTTTCTGGAACCTTCATACAAAAGACATACAAGTTCAAAATTAGAACAGTTTTATTCAAGATGTCCTAGCAATGCACATGTACCCAAATACATTAATTATTGATATTCCAGCAGGCTAGCAGGACCTGCTTCTTGTATTCCCTCACAAAACTTAAGATATTTACAAAGTATCTCTAAAGTAAGACAAAATAAGAATATTTTCAGTGACAGTGGAAATGTCTTAACCAGTACCACATGCTCTTATAATAAAAAAATAATCCACTCACCTGAAGATATTAACAATTAACTGCAAAGTCGTTTGCTGAACTTCTGTATTCAGTTTCTGTTGCCAAGCCCTTCTACGCATTTGGAGTTCACTAAGATCTGTGCTGGCTCGGAGATGGCAGAGCTCTAGATCATAATGCAGCTGAAGACTCTCCACTCTACACAGAGAAGAAAATTGGCAAGTTACATCCTAACACCAACAATTTTTTTCATACTTTTTAAAGAAAAGGTCATTTAGGCCTCACACATCTTACATCTAGAGAAAGTGCAAGATTAATTTGCAAGTGTTGACAAGCTAACAAGATTCCTGGAAGTCTTAGTAGTACATGTAAGTCACAGTGCACTCAGTCTTCTTTGTAAAGAACAGTAAAGTTCAGAGACTAATCCGTATCAGTAATAAAAAAAAGAAACAAGCATTCCAGATATTGCAAAATAATATGATTATGACTGCTTAAAGTTACCTGTCTACTAAATAATTGAAATTTTCAATTTTCCTTTATCACAGTGGTTTTTATATGAATTAAATAATATAGTAATTAATAACACAAATTAAAAAAATTAGACAGAGCATCAAGCATGATTTACACATTAAGATAAACGCAACTTCAAAAATCTTTTCACCTTTTTATGAAAGTTTCTGCTGCTTGTGCTGGAACATCTGGAATTTCAGGTTCCTCTTCAGTCATTTTTGAATGTGTAATATCTCCATTATCTATATTAATTAGAATTAAATCTTCGGTTTCCTTTCAATGAAAGAAAATAGAATAACTGTAAATATACTTATATTGTAAAAACATTTACTTCTCCTTTATATACTCCTCATACAACAAATTATTTCACCAAGGAGGTAAACCAGAAAAGGATTAACCTTTTTCCCCAACTAGAAGATTGTATGGATAACTAGATAATTACTTTCAAGAAAAATAAATGTCATTAAATTAATGACAGTACAGAAACATTTAGTAATCTAATAGGCTCTTGCTGTTGTATTAAATTAATACTGGATCTTTAAGCCCATCCTTGAGAAGCTATACATTATAAGGATATGTACAAAACCATACACATGTACATAAAGAAGCTCCTGGAAAGCTTTCTCCGTTCAGCATTTACTCCTGTACTTATCCCGTGAGATGACAGGGAGAGGGAGGGTTCATATATTCATCTCAAACACAGAAACGCATGCTAATACACAAAAAGTCACGTGGAGGTAAAGACCATGCTGATCTCTCAGTTTGCAATTTTAACAACCTTAAAGATCAGTCTGCAACAAACCGTACATATAAGCAAACATAAAATCTTTCAAATTATAGCAAAGTGTGTTAATCTGTATTTATTTCCAATAGTGACATCATCTTACTGCTAACTAAAAATATATATTAATCTGCTTCATTTTAACTTAATTCTTTGTCGATTTTGGACTTGCCTGGATAGACCAGTTTCACTTTGGCTTATAATCAGATGGATTCACCTAATATAAATTCACACAATTTTTCTGTGTTCGATTTTGAACACTCACAGAAACCCTATGTGACACTCTCAAAAAAAGGATATTCACATTAGCCCTCCACTATGAAGCTGAGTTTTCCTTAAATCTTTTTGGCTAACCAAGATTAAATGTTACCCACTGAAAGAGGATTAGTTTAATAAGATTCTGAAAAAAGAAGACAAAAAACCCCTAGAAAAACTGTGAGATGATTATATTCTTTACATTTCTTTTTCTTTCTTATTTTATTAAATACTTAACTCCACTATGGGGAATAGCAGCATCACTAGAGTACTTCCAAGTGCATGCTCAATTCTTAACCCAGATGCCTGGAAAAGGTACTTCACACAACTCTGAGCAAAAAACAACCTCATCAATCCGAAGGGAAACTATTTATATTATACAAACGACATCTAAGCAGAATTTTTCCCCAAACAAAACTTGAATTCACAAAAATTGTGATATTAACCTGCAAAGAAAAGAAAGGTAAGAGATACAACAATAAGATTTTTCCAGAAAGCCAGTGGTCACATCAATATGGTTCCATTACTTTTAATTTCTTCCATTCTCACACACCTAAACAACAAAAGCAAGTTTCTAGATGCATCTGAAAGAAGGAAGGGGACAAATGCACTGAAAGTGAACAGCAAGAGTGGTAACAGTCTAAAACATACCGTGCTAACTTCTTCAAAATGATCAACATGACATCCCATAAGAAAAGATGTTGGGGCCATTACAAAATCCAGCATTTGACGAGACAGGATAGGCACAAAAGTGTGTTGCCACTGAAGAGGATGAAGGTACAACATAAAGCATTCAGCAACAAGTGTCAACAGAGCCCAATCCGAAGAGAAGAAAACTATTCTCTGCTCTGTCAAAATACAGGTCATAATCTGGAAAAAAAAAACCAAAATGCTAAACGTTTACAACAAGTTGTATCTAGAACATACTAGATATGCACAAATATTTCATTTGCTTGTGAAACTCAGCCTCACAACTGCTGTTTTTTAATAGCTACCTTACATATTTATACATTGAAACAACATCCATTTAAGGATTCTTACAAAACTAAGAAGGGAAGAAAACAGAAAAGGAGAGAAAATTTAAGTGACAGTAGAAGTCAGGGAGAGTTTTGCCACCAATGTCAACAAGGCTAAGATTTAGCTGGAAATCCTGAGAAGACCCGTGGCCTTTCTTTCACAGTATTAGACCACAAAATGTCTGTAAAAAGTACCCAGATGAAGAATATAAGCAAATCTGTCTTTGATGGTGAACACAAAGACCATCTAGGTTTTAAACATCTCAGCCAAACATCTATTTCAGACAAAAGCTAGTCAGGTTCCTCATAGTGCCACTGGAGAGCAGTGCTTTCACAGAGGAGCTCAGGAAGCTCTCTGGAGATGTCCACCTCTTCCACTGATAGAAAGGGACCCAATGGCATCTAAGCACCAAACTCACATGCCTCAAGTTACGTGGGATGAAGTCAAGACAAGAAGACTAATGGTACACTCAGGACATCTCACAGAGGTGCTAACGCATAAAACTCCATGCTCAAGATGCATCGGTTGCTGAACATCATCTAGGATCTGAGATAGTTTTATTCGTAACATGCACATGTGGGCACAACCCAAAAAAATAAGCCAGTACTGCCTGCTCTCAGGACCGAGGAGGTTTATAAGCATCCCTGGAAAGAGGTCTCTGACCTGCTCTTTTTAGAGGAAGTGGCACCAATAACACCGATGACCTTGAGCAATCTAATTTAACTTCACAGGTGGCCTTTGAGCACAGAATTGGATCATGAAACCTATAAAGGACACTCCAAGCCAAAATTATTGTAAGATTCTATGAAGCACTGAAAAAAATTCTTTGCAAATAGCTTTTTGTATTTTCTTGTCTTTCTACACCATTTACACTTCATTTGTATGAGAGTGCCAACTGTTATCAATCCATCCTACAGGTCCCTTTCTTACACATGAAAAAGGTTCTTAAGAATCTTGTAGAAATGCACATAATGAGAATCCAAAATAAAATCTGTCAATCAGCTTGAGTATCTATATTTTAAAATATACTCTTAAGAAATTTAGCACCTATTGCTAAACAACAGGACAAAGAAATCCAATATGCCTTAATCTAATCTGGTCTATAAACAACAAAATATCTTAGTAAGAGGTATATTTTATTGTGGCATCTCTCTAACATGCAGAACTAACACTATTCTGAATTCCTGGGTTTATAATGGGGTTTTTTGAGTAACATCTTGATTTTTTTCTAAACCACAAGTCACCAGTACTGTCAATCTCTAATACATTTTACAGTATCAGTTAAGTTTTACCTGCAGCACCTGCTCTGGCTGGAAACACAGCAACGGAAGATGAAGATCCAAGTCAATAATTGGACTGTCTGGATCTTCTCGTGAAGGAATTACTATTTGAAGTGGTTTCATATTAAATACCTGTAATAACAGATGTTTTCCATTTACTTCTTAATGAAAATGTTCCCACAACACATTTAATCTGGGATTTTAGTTCCAACTACAAAATATTAACATTAATTGAGAGCAAGATGACAGATATTTGCATACTGCAGAAAACTGACAGGGAAATATTAAAAGACATAATAACTAGTTTGAAAGATTAACACAGACTTTGTTTTTCTTCATTCTCATAGGCTGTTTAGCCAACAAAAAATTAAATGTATATATATTCTTTTAACAGAATTAAACTTGTTTTGTTATAAGCATAATAAAATAATGGAATTTTTATTTGTAGACACAACTGGGAAATCAAAAGTATTGATAAGATTCATACACGAAACAGAAAAAATATGAACAAAATAACTGAGCATAGGTGCTCACATTAAGAAGATAGAATGAGCCAAAAAGAATGAGCTCTTTCAGTGTTTCAAATACTCCAGCTCAAATTTCTGGGGGCCAGATCCTGCACATGCTGCCTATTTCAGCACTTAGCAGCTGGTTTAGCCAATCATTCAGACAATTTTCCAGCTATGCTATTTTTTGCTCCGCTCCTAACCCCTCATCCCAGGGCCAAGGAAAGCAGCTAAGGAAAATAAGGGTGATAAAGAAGAAAACACAGCCCACACATCTCAGCTTCTACGCCGAATACAAATATTTATATGAGTTTCTCCTCTCACCTAGGTCTTACCCAGGCAGCAGCCTATCCAGAACATTTACTCCACTCACTAGAACATTTAATCCACTACACACTGTTCTGCTTCCCCAGAGTCATTCAGACACAAGAAAAAACAAGTCCAGAGCTGTACATGTTGTTCCAGCAACTGATTTCCTTGGCTTCTTTTCTCTCACAGGGACTGCCCTATTTCCTCAGTCACATAGCTGCATGCCCACCCATCACGCAATGAGGACGACAGCCACGAGCATCCACTTCAGGCAGCGTGTCTTGATATCGGACACAAGATAGGGAATGCCCACACTTTGGCTGAGTGACAGTTACATGATTTACTGGAGTTTATACATGTGTATTCAATGAGATGGCAATGCCATACTGTTCAGGTGAAAGGTAAGCTTCCATTCTTGTAGAGAAGTTACAGATGGGAGCTTCCACCCTCTTGTGGTAGAGATTACATGGGCTGCCCCTCTAGAACCCAAAAGCTAGATTATGCTGTCCCCAGAGTTACCCAGGCATCATCTCAGACAGTATATAGTTGGCAAGATCCAAATCCTTCCCAGAAGAGTGTTAAAAATTAAACAGCATGATCAACTGGTATGCCAGTGCTCAAGCCTGCACCCTGGTCACACTGTTATTTTAGGTACTAATAATGTATAGCCTTATTTACAAAGCACAGGTATTGACATCAGTTTTATATCAGCAAGTACAGTCTCTGACCTGACAGTGAATAATGCATCCCAATTTATAGAAAATAACATCTTAGTGCTTTATAAGACATAATGTTGAAGTAATTATGAAATTCATAATCAGTAATTACCAAGTGGAGTGGTCCTGGTGGCGGGCTGGGTATTAAAAACAACTTTGCTGCAAATTCTTTTATGTGTTCTTCAACATCTAAATGCTTGGAAGGTCGCAGTTGCACTAGTAAGCTGAAATTAAATTATAGAAATTACTTATAAATAGTAACATGCAAACAGAAAAAAAGTCTTTTTGCTGATAACCTAGAAATAAAAAAAATTATGAGGAGCGATGAAGCTATTATTCCAGCTAATTAATTTCTAATTTATTGGCTACTTTAGCAGCTCCATTTAATTTTAATGATGCTGCTGTCTCAGAAGCAGGTTTTTTTTTTCACTTCCATGCATAAAATACTGCTGCATTATATCTATCAGAGGATGCAGATAGCACACTGGGTCTCATGATGGCAAAAAAACCCTAGAGGTAAGACACAGCTAAAGGAAGTGTCTTACAGAGATTGCTTGAGGAATAAAACACCCCACAGCTGCAACATGGTACAACCTGTGCCGTGGTGTTTCTCCCATCCCAAGCATCAGACATCAGCTCTGGGATGGAAAACAGCATCAGAGGAAAAGAGAAGTCGTAGACATGGGTTTAACTGCAGAGGAACATGAAGCAAGAGCCATATTTAGCGTAAGGCTCTTTGCTATTGTTTCCACCCATACAAAGAACAAATACAGTTGTGCAAACGTGCCAAATGTTTCTATTTTAGAACTGTATTATCCTAGCTGTGTCAAAGTCACAAAGGTCATGCGGTTTATATTATATGCCAGATCAATTCATGAACGTTTAAACATACATGCTATTAAGACTACAAACCGTTAAGTCTGACGGCATTTCTGAAATGTAACAAGAAGATATTTGTAGTCAGAAAGGGCATTTTGTTCAATGTAAGATTCACATGCATGTTTGTAGCAAAAAAAAACCCAAAAATAACACACACACACACCCCCGAACCTTTACAAAATCAGAAGTTAGAGTCTGCAAATCTATATATACAGAAACCAGGACCTTAATACGGTTATAATTCTCGAGGTTTTATTTCAGTTTGCAGTTTTACTGGTTTCCTGCAGAAGAATACTTGCTCTTCAGGAAGAAAGTAGTCTAGAAAGCAACTGAATAGGTCAAGTGATATACTAGAATCCAGGACATCATATTTGTGTACAGCATTTAGATTCCAGAATAAAAATATTCTGTCATATATTACTGAGCTTTTAATTGGATTAGTGAGACATTTAAGTTCAATGAATTCACATTTGGAAACTGCCCTGGGCTGAGTACTAGGCTGTTACACATATCCCCAAAAAGCCCATCAGCTATTCAGGGGCACAGAGGAAGGCGGGGAATTTACGAATTATCAAAGAAAACCAGATAGTACAGTTATCAATTTAAACAAATACGCTGTCACACTTAGTAATGCCTTAGATGTAGCCTAACAGCATAGGTAGACCTGCTTTTTCTTGAGAGAGACAAAAAGCACCGATCAGCACATCCAGTAAATATTACAACAGAAACAACCTGATCCTGATGCTGAAAAAGCAGCAGATGTACAGTAAGAATGGTAAGAGCTCCCTAATCAGTATGCTGTGCCCATTAATGCAACGTAATAGCAGTTGACAGCTCTGCACTGCAAACGTCTGCTGAAAGAAATGAAGTAATCTCTGAAACATTAAAGTGGAGAGTTAAAGAGTTTATGAACCTCCCATTACCTCTATTAACTGTCCACAGACAGCTATTTCAGAAAACAAGAACATCTAAGAATAGGTCCTTTGTACTGCCTGAATGCTGTGAGCTATTTGCACACATCCACCTTTTCTCAAAAATATGCAGGTTGGAAGATTTACTGTTTGAATGGAGCCTATTCATCCATCCAAGACAGGAGTTCACCCAGAAGGAGATTACTGCCAGGAATATTTCACTTTTCATGTAGTGTAACAGACTGAGGTAAAAACTACCTGCACAAAGTGCCAAAACCTCTCAATCAGATTGAGGTAAAACTACCTGTGCAAAGTGCCAAAACCTCTCAATTTAAAACTGAATCTTTTCAAATAATGTAGCACAATCCAACAGCCACAGTGTTGTCAAACGGTCTAGGTGCACATCGGCTTGCTTTGGAGAGAGGCAGACACACTCCTTTCAAGTTGTTCCAGATTTGGAAGCACTGTACGCTACTAATAGGTGAATTAGTTATAAAATTAATTACATAGAATATGAAGACCTTCATTACTATGATGAAAGTTTGCAAGTTCCCCTTGCAGTTCAAAGCACCTACATGGATTTATAGTTTGATGTTGCCTTTGTATCTTGTTTGGTCTCAGTTTTTGGTTGATTTCTACTATACTCTGCCATTTGAAAAAGTTTAGGAATGCGGGTTTTATCTGGGAACACTTGTGATGATAACATACCTTTGTGAACTATTCTGAATGAAAACAAATACCACCCCACCTATAAGCAATCCTGTGCACTGCAGGTCCTGGAGAAAATAAGCTATGCACAGCAGAATCATAGAATCATTACGGTTGGAAGAGACCTCAAAGATCATCAAGTCCAACCGTATACCTGATGCCACCATGCCCGCTAAACCCTCGAATTGCGGAGGAAAATGAAATCTTTTGCTGCAAAAAGGCCCTGAATGGAAGCAGGCCTCCATTACTAATAACAAATAGCATTCTTCTGCTCGTTCACATGAGGAGAGGGCTACACTCTAGAAATAGGTGGTTTGAGGTCCACCAGCAAGTGTTCTCAAATCCCCAGACTTGCAGAATGATTAATCAGCTGAAGCACCCTGCAAAACACCACTGAAGCACACCAAAGATACAAGTGCATCATTGAACATGTTATTATTTGTTAAGTATACAAGGCACTACTACTTGAGTACACTTGGTCAATGAAAACATTTAATTTGATTTTTAACTCATTGGCCACCTGATTACAGCTAAGGCATCCAAAATGACAATAACTCCTTTTCTGGTTTACAAGAAAACAATGTCTTGTAATGTTACAAAAAGCTGAAACATCCTCAGATGTACAGGGCACTACACTCAAAATATATCATAGAGGTCTTTACTGTAATTGCTTACATTCCATTCAGAACAGCCACACATCCCAGCAGCTGTTTCATGCCATATGGAAAATTTTCAGTAACACAACCAAAATAAGGAAAACTGGTACCTCTGCACCCCTTCCTTTCCTCCAGCTCAAGTATACTCTGGCACACTAAAATACCTTTTCTAGAAAAAAAGAAAATGGAAGGGCAGACTTTCTGAAATTATCTATCAAATAGCATCAAGGAAAATAGAGATTTAAAAAAAAAAAAAATCCAGAAGAAAATATCATGGAAAGTTAATCAGTTGAGTTTCCAGTTCAGTGGGAAATGCCAGTATCAAATGCCGTTTTGTCCCTTGCATTCCTTCTCTCCTGCCAGTTGCATCTTACACACACTTGCATCTGCCATCCAGATGCAACAGCAAAAAGAAGAGAGGAGAGCTGTGCAACTGTATGACAAATTCCCCCATTAAATGACCAGGACAATACAGAACTAACATGGAAGGCTATTGTCCTGTTGAACTTCCCTATAATTATTCACACATTTACAAATCACTTTAAGCTTAGATGGTAGGTTACTGATAAATCTGAACTCACCTTCGAAACCAGTACAGACTCAGCTTAAAGGGAAAAGCCAGCCATAGTAGTTAGCTTGGACTTTAATGCTTTAAACAGGTGCAAAACCTCCTATATATGATCAAGGCAGAGATGTTTAATTATAATGTTTAAAATACCCACCCAGAGGCAGAAGCTTGCACCTCTAGAGAGCTAACTCCACCTGGTTCCTGTCTGCTCTAAACAAACATGAGATCTAGAAACATTTTTGTAACCTCTGGAATTTCCTACAGTTCTCGTGAACATTTTCCCACTTCTCCCTTAGTGGGCTCTTTAAAAATCCATTTGCAAATTGACTTTTTGAGCAAATTGAGCTCAGAGATGTCTCACTTCAGAGAAGAAATTACTCATTTATGAATATACTATATAAACCACTGATAAACACCATAACTGTAAAGTTGAACCTATACTATTTCCTACCCAGTAGAAAGTTAGTGTGTAGTGAGCCCTCATACAGGCTGAGTTCACAGTATAAAAGAACCATGAATCTTATTATAAAGACTGGATATAAACAGTAGAGCAGGCATATAGCTGTGAGTGTTACATACATAGATTAGCGTTTACTTGAGATTTGAGACTATGAAAAGGCAGCAATGAATCAGCTCCTGCAATACCAACAGCTGATGTAATCGACTTAAACATAAGGAGTGGAAAAAGCCATCTGGGCAGGAAAGGAGAAAGGGAAAAAAACATTTCCTTTTTATTTTACTGATCATCTCAATTTCACACTAACCTGTGAATACCTAGTTTCCATCATGTTTAAGTCACTTGTCCACATTAAACCACTTTATTAATGCTTTGAAAATGACAGAGCAGAGGCAGCATGAACAGTGTCAGTGGTGTGTTCGCTCATACTTAAGGGCTGCCAGAGTGACTCATTTCTGCTACCACAACTTTTTTGGAGGTAACATCTGAACCGCCCAAGAGGTAGGCACTGCTTTGTTCCTCCAGGGCTCTCTTCATCTAAACCAAGGAAAGCCAGTCAGTGCTCCAACCAGATCCAAGCCCACAGCATTGGGAAGAAGAACTGCACGGTGTGGGGAAATGAGTGCTGGGTAGTGATGCACCTTAGCTACCAGCCAGGAAGCACACCCTTGCTTGCACATCTGCTCAGCATACTGACTGCTGGCAGAACAACCTGGAAGACTAAAGTTCCAACCTAAAACCCTAACATCTTTCCACTTACATCTAAGAAGCAAATACTTACAAGAGAAAAACACCTGACTTCAAATCTGACTCTAGAAAGCTTGACTGGAATTTAGTGGGGTAAAAAAACCCACCTCTTCTACCTTTGGACTGCAAGTGAAGATTACCCAGTAATGTCCAACGTACAGAGACAGGCTCCCTGATGCAAGGAGTTTTTAATCCATTTCAGAACAGAAGCATGTAGATTTTAACAATTTAACAATAAAGCAACACACAACCTCAAAATAAGGTAAATTACTAAATAACAAGACAGACCCATGTTCACTTACCTTTTAACTCATCTATACTGCGGAGTATTTGAGTGCTTCTAACCAGTGAAGTACTCTGTATCCTAAGATTTTCTCTCCTAGTTCTACGACAGCCAAGTAACCACTGTACTCCCTCAAGTCACTTGGATTATTTAGTTAAAGAATAAAGTGTCATTAACTGCTTATTAATACATATCTTCATGTTCCTCTGATATTTATTTGGTACATCATAAAGAGGCTTTTGTTCTTTCAAAGTGATTTTCACTAGCGTGGCAAAATCTTACTTAATCCTCTTCCAAAAAACCCAAAATTTTGGGGAAATCTGTTCCCTGCAAATTAGTATTTTCTAGACTTACCAAAAACCTCAAAGAAAACAAAGACAACATCATAACTAATTTCCTTGATATTTAGAACTTCCGCTTACCATCTGGGTAACATTTACATTACATTTCTTTTCCTCTCCCACACATCTTACACTACCATAACTTAAAACTAACACCTGTCTTAGTATTACGCAGCTATCCTGACCACATCTTGCAAATTCATGTATTAAAACCTGCCTAGTTATTTCCAGAAGAAACAAACAGGATAGCAAGTCTTACCATGACAGACAATCCTTGAGGGCATTAAAATATGGATATCTGGATATAACACAAATAGCGAATGGTACAAAGCAGACAGGCATCTTCCCAGCCTGCGCAGATTCCCAATGGGTCTGCCCATTCGAGGAAATACAGCCATCCTGCAAGAAAACTACAGATTAATGTGTTTAAGTTAATCATGAATTTATGGCTGATATTTTCTTGAGAATCCTAGAGATATGATACCAAATTCCCTCTAAATTTCAAGGGCATTTGGATGTCTATCTCTCTTAAGCTCTTCAGAAAAATGTCAGCCTACAAGACTTAGACATACGTATTACAAAGAATTTCAGTGCAAAAGATATTTAGAAAGAACACAGGGTACATACAATCTTCACAAAAAAAAAATCTCCAAGGGACAAAGTCTGCTCCTAAAGATTCAAAACTCCTACTGAAATCCATAACAGTTTTTCTTAATGCAATGCTGCTCCAATGTACTCAATTTACAACGTCAATATAAAGTTTGATTCGTACTGTATTCCTGCAATAAAAACATATCTGTTAACTATTTTCATAAATTAAACCTGACATTATTCTCAAAGTGTTTTGTTTTATTTTACATCTTTTAATATGTTTTAATAAAAGCATTAGTCAAATAACGTACTTGCATAGGCTGGTAGTACTGTGCAACAACACCGTATGTTCTGTTACCACAGACATCTGTGAAGACCAGGAAATGAATGTGGTCTTCTTTTGATTCAGAAGTTATATAAAGTCCTCCTGCAATGAAGGCAAAAATCTTTTTTTTAACTACATATTTAACTACAGCTGCTTGAAAAGTAATTAATGACAAATACTGCACATTTCCACCTAATTTCAAGACAAATGTCTCATTTTAAGGGAATAAAATGTACATATACAGACCATTTGATCCAAGAGTTGTTACAAAGGCTGTAAGCTGCACGTTACTGAAGAAGCAAAAATATTATATAATTATTCTGCATTTTAAGTGGTAAAATACAATCAATGGGTTTTGTTCACTTTTTCTTTCAAGATATTTGTAAGGTCTACAATAGTGACATGCATATTAAGATTTCTGCAATTAAACCTGAGGAAACAGTCACTATTTCAGGTATATCTTAATATCAAATGAAAAGTGAAAGAGTACTCAGTGATTTGCCGAGGGGGGAGGGGAAGAATTTTAAAAGTGCGTGCCTGCGTGCACTTCACTCGAACAAAGATTTATCAATAACAGCTCAAGTGACTTTTGGCTTCCCTCTCTTGCAGGTGTTGCAGCTACTATTGCTAATAGATCTGTTTCACACAACATAGCCATACAGAGTAAGGGCACCTCATTCAGGTAACAGCTTCTCTCATCACTGACCTGCTCACAAGCAGACACATTTTTTTTTGCACTGTAAAATACAAAGAGATAAAGAAGATGACCATAAAAAAAAAAAAAAAGGCTGTACTACAGGTCAACAAATACACATTAAATCAGCTCTCATTAAGAAGCGTGAATCCTACCATACCTGGGAAGCATAGCTGTGGCAAACCAATAAGATCAATGTCCTTCGGAACAGTAACATCTTCAGTGTCAGGTGCTTTTGGCTCCCCATTGAGACTCTTGACATTTTCAATCTTCGGTCTCTCTTTTTTCTTTCGGAAAGAGCGGCGTTTACTTTTATTCAAGTTATTACCAGCATTAATCACCTGACTATCATCTCTGCTGATAAATGGAGGCACAAATACAGAAAGAACTTCTGGATCAAGGGGAGGAAGACTTTTGGGTTTTCTTTGAGTACTCTATTAAAAAAAAAAGAAAGAAAAAGAAAAAACAAACAATCACTAAGTTGACACTCATCCTGATAGCTTTTTTTAAACCATTTTTAGCCTGTTTTCTCTCCACCTCTAAAATTATGGGTTTAGAATACATTTTTTTCTTCTTCCTAAATAATTAATTTTTTCTTCTAATTTCTTGCTTTACCTATGTTAATGCAAGGGGAATACTCTGGGCATTTTCAGTAGGCAAAGAATCATTCTTCATCATTCTAAATGCACCATATCAATATTACGCCTTTGGTATAAGAAAACCAACAAATATCAAATACACTATTTCCTCCTTTGAAGTGTTAGGATATACGTAAGCTATACTTAAAATAAATACTGGTAGTAAGAGAAAACAGGCAACAAATAAATGAAAACAACAAAAAAAATCTGAACTCCCTAGGTAAGTCTTTGTTCAGCTTTAGGAAAAGCTACATTTTCAACTCAGAATAACCTCTACAGAAAAAAAAAAAAAAACAAAAAAAACCAAACCCAAAAACAAAAACAAAACCCACAGATGTTTTCACCTCACTTTGTAAGGCAATGAACAAAGTACAATTAAAAATAATCACTGTTACAATAAATGAAATTTTAAGATACTGTGCAACATAAAGCCGTGAAAATTTCTCCATATATTGATGACTAAGTGGAACAGGCATCCCAAGAGCACGTACAAAGTTGCAACAACTTTTAGTAGGCAGTTTTGTAAAGTACTACTGCACTGAAACATGCTGCCTTGCTATGAAAAACTGTGGAGGAAGGGATCAGAAGAGATTTCCTTGTACTTAGGAGCATCTTTTGTATTCTGGACCATATAGTAGAGACAAGTAGCTGCATTTTCAATTACTTCACTGCAATTTTAATTCTTCCTGCAAGGTCAAAACAACAAGTAAAAGCTTTGTTTAGTCAACGGATATTTGGAAACAGGAAAGACAAGCTTCACTGTGGCTAAAAAACTGTTTCATTTTCAACTTTTTGCTAACCGATTCAAAGATAGATGAAGCATACATGCTGCTTTAACCTTCACACACAATGCAGGATTCGATTGTATTTAAGATATTCCTTGAGAACAAACGCTGGCCTCTCTCATCATTTCCCTACTTTTTAAAATAGCTACAACGTCCAAAGCTCTATTGTTTCACTGAAGCTAATCTTCCATCCTCTAAGTTTTGGACCAGAAAGTCTCGGCTTATTTGTCCTAGTAGATGAGTCCACCAGTAGTCTTCTTCACATTTGAGCATCATATGAAAAATGATAAGGAATACTTACCTTCATGATATATTAGTTACCGTATCTTAAGCTCCACCATATTCTATAATAGAATACTTGAAAGAAAGTACTTCAATAAAAATAAAAAGTAAAAAACACTCTTTTAACGAACACACAAGAGTCTGAACTAGAAAGAAATTAAGAGTTGAAAAGATAAAAGTTCAGATAAGTATCCACTAGAATATTCAAAATATAGCAATGACTTTAAAAAGCACATTACAAATTGGGATACTAAGTGCCATATCCCACCATGCTAAAAACTTCGTCATTTTCCTTAGCTGGCAGCTGACATCCGTTGTAAGTGAAGAAACTGGAAACGCAGATAAATCCAACATTATCACTCTCAAAATAACATGCAGCTAAACCCTTCAGAAGGAAATTAAGAATTAAGGCACAGCCCTGAGGCTGTTATGCAAGAAAAAAACAGTAGCAATCTTAATTTGGCAGATTCGCGCTGTAGAGGTTTTCATACAAAGTTGCTTGACAGGGCAATCCCTGACTTAGGTTGAATGCACCTCTGTGCTACTAAGTGCTGGATGACAGCCAGCAATTTAATAGCCTCACAGTGTAACAGCTTCTAAAATGGCAGGTCCTTGATGTCTTGAACTGCAACAGAGGCATTAAACACCAGGTTTTTTTCCCCTCCACAGAACAGCACTGTCACTGACCAGTGACTCAGTTGTCAGCATTCAAGTCAGCTCCTATTAATGTCTACAGCCAAAGTCATATTTTCTTACCCTTTCAGTTCAGGGATAGTGAACAGGTAGTAACAGAACAACATTCACTTGTTTCTACTAGTCTTTGAACATTTTATATTCTGTTTCTACTTTTACTTCTTTTTGAAATGCTTCTCTTCTGTCGCTTTTTACTATCAAATGTCCTTGTGTCATACATAGCTTCTTAGAAACACCAACGCCTTTTCTTTCCTGTAATTCTGCAAGATTCCAGAAGTCAGGGATTTTATTCCATCCCCATTTACTGATCATGTTGCTGTAACAACGGTGCCATATAGGGCACGGATAAGAGACAGACTTTTTACAGTGACCACACTATTTCAGACACAAGAAGTAGTGTGTTGAAACCATAGATCAGAGTGTGATCTCAGCCATTTGGTGTTTTCTTGATCTCATTCTCCTCTTCCCATCACTGAAGAAGTTTTCATTTTGAATATCATGAAAGAGCTGGCTTCTTTAAGGAATAATTGGGCAGGGAAAAGTATGAAGCCTTAGAAAAATTAGGTTGGAAGGGATCTCTGGAGGTTCTAGTGCAATCCTTTGCTCAAAGCAATGATAACTTTTAAGTTAGATCAGGTTGCTCTGGGTCTCATCAAGTCAAGTTTCAGAAATCCCTTAGAGAGGAGATTCTTCCCCCCTTGTGCTCCAGCCCTCACACGGCTTAGCTTCTTCTGATCTCACTCCCGTTGTCAGCAGTTTTCCAGTATCAGGGTACACAAATGTGGGACAGTATTCCAGATGTGACCTCAAGAGTGTTGAGTAGTAACAATAATAGTAATAATTCCTTTCCTTCGCCTGTGAGCTATGGTCCTGATGGTGCAGGCCATTACAGTTACTTTTCACTGCCACAAGCACACACTGCTGACTAATGCTCCACTTGATGACCACTTGTACCACTTCACACCCAGGTGGGCATTACAGAAGAAGGAAAAAATTGGTTTGGTGGTTATGTCTGCATTAGCAGGGCCAGAAAGCATGATGCAAACACTGTAAGAGACAAGATCTGTACCATTGACTGTGGTAGGTAGATACAGAACCCAATAATGGAGCCGATAAGAAGATCTGAGACATCTCGCAGACAGCTTGCACATCACACTTGCCATATCAAAACCCAGCCTTATAGCTGAAGATAACTTAGGGGAAAGAAGTCTTATCAAAGACGGCTGTATGATCTTCACTACTGTACGTCTCATTCTTTCTAAATACACACTTCCAACACTAAAAAAGTAATCTCTAGCTGAAAATAGTGGCCTTTGATCTCTTCAAATTGAAGTCTTAGAGTGACAATGATCTTGGTAATAAGGACAATTGATGGATGACAACCTAGAGCTTCAGTGCAAAACTGTATCTTTTTTCCTGGAATCTCCATTGACAACAAGTCAGTCATAAAAGACTTTTCTTACTTTGGGAGTGGGTTATATCATGTTCTTCATAGACTTTATTACTCTGTATTGCAATGAAGTTAAGAATGCACAAACACACTTTCAAGACCAAGATCTGAGGCACTGTCAAGACTTTTACCCTGCTGTTTCATCTGTAAATATCAGAGGTCCACTACTTTCCATTGAAATGTTCTTATTTTCCGCCAATAAGGTCTCTTCTTTCTACATTCACTGAAATTGGACACAAAACATATTCCACCATTGCCTCATATAGATAGTGCTGCAGAAGGAAAAGGAAGTGGAGTAAATCTATAAGCTTGCCCTAAGACAGCGATTGAAATCCCTGTGGGGTAACAGCTTGCAGAGACATTACTATAGTTAATATTGACACTCCATTTTATACCTTGAGTAAAGAAACAATTCAAAACCCGTGGTGTGATCAGAATGGCTTCTACTTTTTGTAGCCAATTTCTTATTTGTTGTTCTACGGGTTTTTTGGAAGCAATGAGATCAAACTGAGCAGACTGGAATGAAAAAAAAATTCCCCTTCTTTTGGGTTTCCTTCTCACACAGATGCCGAAACAACACATGCACGCCAATTTCAAAAGTCTGGTGGTAGCATTTATGGCCCAACTATTTCCTGAATTTGAATGTATACATTAATGAAATCCTGGAATTTGAACTTCGGCTTAGTTGATATCACTTAAGAAGCCGGCATCAGCAAAAGCCACCTCCTGAGTGAGTTAGCAGCAACAAGTTTAACAAAGGCTTCTTTATCTAATGCTATTAGACCACACAATCAAATTCAAGCTCAAGCAAGACAACCAAGCAGCTTGGCTTTTCAGCACATGCTGGCACCACAGCTGCTCCCACAGTGGGATGGCTCACAGGTATCTAACAAAACCACCCGTACATTTCAACAAAGCAAAATCAGGAAAAGGACTTTAATTGTTAACTCATACGTGAAGTGCTAATGGTCATAAACAAATTATAAACCACATATTCAAAGCAGAAACCAACCCATCAACTTCTGTTTCTGAATTGCTCGGGTTGTGCCAAACTCAGAGCGCTGAACTCACAGGGATTTAGTCCATGTGTTGTCCTAAGGCTACAGTTTACCAGGCTTTATTCCCCTGTCTTTAGCTTTTATCTTGAACAGAAGACTGGAAATAGGATATCATTCAGTAAAGGATATGCATTGTTCAAGCATTTTGCTGTTCCTTCTTATAAAAAGTAACACTGCATTCTTCATCTACGCTCAGACCTTTGAAAAAGCATAATTCTTAACACCACTACCAAATTATCCCTACTTTGTTGATGATCGCCTGTCAAAACAAGTTTCCTTTGAAGCATTTCAGCTCTACCCGATGATAACAGCAACAAGGCAACCCAGCAGTTTTACTCCAAGTCCGTACGAGGGAGAGAGGCCCAGCCGGGGAGGAGCTGACCCGGCTCAGACTCCGGCTAGACCTCCGAGTAGAGAGCGGCGCTGACAGAACCCGCCCTACAGACCA